AACTAGGGATAACAGGAACATACCTCAATATTGTAAAAGCAATCTATGCTAAGCCTCAGGCTAGCATCATTCTGAATGCAGAAAAACTGAAGGCATTCCCTCTAAAATCTGGAACAAGACAGGGATGCCCTCTCTCTCCACTTCTCTTCAACATAGTTCTCGAAACACTGGCCAGAGCAATTAGACAGACGAAAGAAATTAAAGGCATAAAAATAGGAAAAGAAGAAATTAAATTATCACTATTTGCAGATGATATGATTCTATATCTAGCAGACCCAAAAGGCTCTACAAAGAAACTATTAGAGCTAATAAATGAATTCAGCAAAGTGGCAGGATTTAAAATCAACACGCATAAATCAAAGGCATTCCTGTATATCAGCGACAAATCCTCTGAAATGGAAATGAGGACAACCACTCCATTCAAAATATCTTCAAAAAAAATAAAATACTTGGGAATCAACCTAACAAAAGAGGTGAAAGACTTATACAATGAAAACTACAGAACCCTAAAGAGAGAAATAGAAGAAGATCTTAGAAGATGGAAAAATATACCCTGTTCATGGATAGGCAGAACTAACATCATCAAAATGGCGATATTACCAAAAGTTCTCTATAGGTTTAATGCAATGCCAATCAAAATCCCAACGGCATTTCTTGTAGAAATAGAGAAAGCAATCATGAAATTCATATGGAAAAATAAAAGACCCAGAATAGCAAAAACAATGCTAAGCAGGAAGTGTGAATCAGGCGGTATAGCGATACCAGACTTCAAACTATACTGCAGAGCAATAGTAACAAAAACAGCATGGTACTGGTACCAAAACAGGCGGGTGGACCAATGGTACAGAATAGAGGACACAGAAACCAATCCACAAAACTACAACTATCTTATATTTGATAAAGGGGCTAAAAGCATGCAATGGAGGAAGGATAGCATCTTCAACAAATGGTGCTGGGAAAACTGGAAATCCATATGCAACAAAATGAAACTGAATCCCTTTCTCTCGCCATGCACAAAAGTGAATTCAAAATGGATCAAGGAGCTTGATATCAAATCAGAGACGCGCCGTCTGATAGAAGAAAAAGTTGGCTACGATCTACATACTGTGGGGTCGGGCTCCAAATTCCTCAATAGGACACCCATAGCACAAAAGTTAATAACTAGAATCAACAAATGGGACTTACTCAAACTAAAAAGTTTTTTCTCAGCAAAAGAAACAATAAGAGAGGTAAATAGGGAGCCTACATCCTGGGAACAAATCTTTACTCCTCACACTTCAGATAGAGCCCTAATATCCAGAGTATACAAAGAACTCAAAAAATTAGACAATAAGAGAACAAACAACCCAATCAACAAATGGGCCAAGGACCTGAACAGACACTTCTCAGAGGAGGACATACAGTCAATCAACAAGTACATGAAAAAATGCTCAACATCTCTAGCTGTCAGAGAAATGCAAATCAAAACCACCCTAAGATACCATCTCACTCCAGTAAGATTGGCAGCCATTAGGAAGTCAAACAACAACAAGTGCTGGCGAGGATGTGGGGAAAAGGGTACACTTGTACATTGCTGGTGGGACTGCAGATTGGTGCAGCCAATTTGGAAAGCAGTATGGAGATTTCTTGGAAAGCTGGGAATGGAGCCACCATTTGACCCAGCTATTCCCCTTCTTGGTCTATTCCCTAAAGACCTAAAAAGAGCATGCTACAGGGACACTGCTACATCGATGTTCATAGCAGCACAGTTCACAATAGCAAGACTGTGGAACCAACCTAGATGCCCTTCAATAGACGAATGGATAAAAAAAATGTGGCATTTATACACAATGGAGTATTACTCTGCATTAAAAAATGACAAAATCATAGAATTTACAGGGAAATGGATGGCATTAGAGCAGATTATGCTAAGTGAAGCTAGCCAATCCCTAAAAAACAAATGCCAAATGTCTTCTTTCATATAAGGAAAGTAACTAAGAACAGAGTAGGGACGAAGAACAGGAGAAGAAGATTAACATTTAACAGGGATGAGAGGTGGGAGGGAAAGGGAGAGAGAAGGGAAATTGCACGGTAATGGAAGGAGACCCTCAGGGTTATACAGTGGAGGGGGTAGAGAGAGAGGAGGGGAGGGGAGGGGAGAGGTGGGGAGGGGGGAGGGTGGATGATGGGAAAGGCAGCGGAGCACAACAGACACTAGTATGGCAATTTGTAAATCAATGGATGTGTAACTGATGTGAATCTGCAATCTGTGTATGGGGTGAAGGTGGGAGTTCATAACCCACTTGAATCAAAGTGTGGAATATGATATGTCAAGAAATTTGTAATGTTTTGAACAACCCACAATAAAAAATTAAAAAAAAAAAAAAAAAGAACCATATGATCATCTCGATAGATGCGGAAAAAGCATTCGACAAAGTACAGCATCCCTTTATGTTCAAAACTCTAGAAAAACTAGGGATAACAGGAACATACCTCAATATTGTAAAAGCAATCTATGCTAAGCCTCAGGCTAGCATCATTCTGAATGCAGAAAAACTGAAGGCATTCCCTCTAAAATCTGGAACAAGACAGGGATGCCCTCTCTCTCCACTTCTCTTCAACATAGTTCTCGAAACACTGGCCAGAGCAATTAGACAGACGAAAGAAATTAAAGGCATAAAAATAGGAAAAGAAGAAATTAAATTATCACTATTTGCAGATGATATGATTCTATATCTAGCAGACCCAAAAGGCTCTACAAAGAAACTATTAGAGCTAATAAATGAATTCAGCAAAGTGGCAGGATTTAAAATCAACACGCATAAATCAAAGGCATTCCTGTATATCAGCGACAAATCCTCTGAAATGGAAATGAGGACAACCACTCCATTCAAAATATCTTCAAAAAAAATAAAATACTTGGGAATCAACCTAACAAAAGAGGTGAAAGACTTATACAATGAAAACTACAGAACCCTAAAGAGAGAAATAGAAGAAGATCTTAGAAGATGGAAAAATATACCCTGTTCATGGATAGGCAGAACTAACATCATCAAAATGGCGATATTACCAAAAGTTCTCTATAGGTTTAATGCAATGCCAATCAAAATCCCAACGGCATTTCTTGTAGAAATAGAGAAAGCAATCATGAAATTCATATGGAAAAATAAAAGACCCAGAATAGCAAAAACAATGCTAAGCAGGAAGTGTGAATCAGGCGGTATAGCGATACCAGACTTCAAACTATACTGCAGAGCAATAGTAACAAAAACAGCATGGTACTGGTACCAAAACAGGCGGGTGGACCAATGGTACAGAATAGAGGACACAGAAACCAATCCACAAAACTACAACTATCTTATATTTGATAAAGGGGCTAAAAGCATGCAATGGAGGAAGGATAGCATCTTCAACAAATGGTGCTGGGAAAACTGGAAATCCATATGCAACAAAATGAAACTGAATCCCTTTCTCTCGCCATGCACAAAAGTGAATTCAAAATGGATCAAGGAGCTTGATATCAAATCAGAGACGCGCCGTCTGATAGAAGAAAAAGTTGGCTACGATCTACATACTGTGGGGTCGGGCTCCAAATTCCTCAATAGGACACCCATAGCACAAAAGTTAATAACTAGAATCAACAAATGGGACTTACTCAAACTAAAAAGTTTTTTCTCAGCAAAAGAAACAATAAGAGAGGTAAATAGGGAGCCTACATCCTGGGAACAAATCTTTACTCCTCACACTTCAGATAGAGCCCTAATATCCAGAGTATACAAAGAACTCAAAAAATTAGACAATAAGAGAACAAACAACCCAATCAACAAATGGGCCAAGGACCTGAACAGACACTTCTCAGAGGAGGACATACAGTCAATCAACAAGTACATGAAAAAATGCTCAACATCTCTAGCTGTCAGAGAAATGCAAATCAAAACCACCCTAAGATACCATCTCACTCCAGTAAGATTGGCAGCCATTAGGAAGTCAAACAACAACAAGTGCTGGCGAGGATGTGGGGAAAAGGGTACACTTGTACATTGCTGGTGGGACTGCAGATTGGTGCAGCCAATTTGGAAAGCAGTATGGAGATTTCTTGGAAAGCTGGGAATGGAGCCACCATTTGACCCAGCTATTCCCCTTCTTGGTCTATTCCCTAAAGACCTAAAAAGAGCATGCTACAGGGACACTGCTACATCGATGTTCATAGCAGCACAGTTCACAATAGCAAGACTGTGGAACCAACCTAGATGCCCTTCAATAGACGAATGGATAAAAAAAATGTGGCATTTATACACAATGGAGTATTACTCTGCATTAAAAAATGACAAAATCATAGAATTTACAGGGAAATGGATGGCATTAGAGCAGATTATGCTAAGTGAAGCTAGCCAATCCCTAAAAAACAAATGCCAAATGTCTTCTTTCATATAAGGAAAGTAACTAAGAACAGAGTAGGGACGAAGAACAGGAGAAGAAGATTAACATTTAACAGGGATGAGAGGTGGGAGGGAAAGGGAGAGAGAAGGGAAATTGCACGGTAATGGAAGGAGACCCTCAGGGTTATACAGTGGAGGGGGTAGAGAGAGAGGAGGGGAGGGGAGGGGAGAGGTGGGGAGGGGGGAGGGTGGATGATGGGAAAGGCAGCGGAGCACAACAGACACTAGTATGGCAATTTGTAAATCAATGGATGTGTAACTGATGTGAATCTGCAATCTGTGTATGGGGTGAAGGTGGGAGTTCATAACCCACTTGAATCAAAGTGTGGAATATGATATGTCAAGAAATTTGTAATGTTTTGAACAACCCACAATAAAAAATAAAAAAAAAAAAAAAGAATAAATAGAATGGATAACATAGAAAACTGATAAACTTATCCCTGAATAATTGAATACTAACCCTAAAAATGATTATAGTTTTGAAAAGACAAAATAGGTGGCATATAAAAAAACTCTAGTATTCAAGGTATGATAAAATAACATGTAGAGGGTGTATCTAAGACATCTTGTTCCTTGGCTTACCTTACAGTCTTTGGCTTGCTGATGAGGACGTCAGGAACTTCATACCTGGGTTTCAGTGGAGTTTCTTCATTGATTTTAAGTCTGAAAATGTTTCTCTCTATACCATAAACTTCAGCCAAAAGAGGAACCTGGGAACAAATATATGAGATTAGCTTCAACAGGTTTCCCAATGATATTCTAACAAATTACAATAATTAGAAAGAAAATAATTTGTTTAAATTATTAAAGGGCATATATAGCTATGAAAATTAGGCTATGAAAATTAGAGAAAAATGAAAATAATAGAAAGAACAAGCTCCCGATTTATGTACTTGCTTGGTTACACCTGTGGTAGCACAAGAAGTACCCCTATATGGTTAGGTAAACATATAATTGTCCAAACCAGGACCTTTAGAATAAAGAGTGACTATTAATAATTACATGGATAACAGGGATAAACTAAAAACAGCCTTGGGAAATTGAGATACATAGCCACTATTATCTATGATAAATTACAGATGTGCTAAGAATAACAGTTTGTTAAAACCATAATAATTTGATTCCAACTGAATGAAAGATGAAGGCTAGCAGGCCACAGAATAGAATACAGAGTAAAATGATGATCTCTGTGGTTCTCTAGTATTAGATGAAATGAGGCTTGCTATACTAAAATCAAGCCAGCTCTATGAGACAGAAATGGCCAGATTTAGGTTACAAAATGAGGCATCTAGATCAGAGGACTATTTTAAGATGGTGGCTTTCAATGGGTGTGTCATGCCACACTTGTCTATGGCAAATTCTTCATGAAGTACGATGCTAAGTTTTGGTTACAAATGGATACTTATATTATTATTATTACATCTAAAAAGAGTAACCTGGGTTGGCTGTGTGATGTAGCGTGGAAGAGTTGATATATGGTGATATAAGCATGGAAAATATCAAGCAGCACCAAAAAAATATGCTTTTCAAGGATCTTTGCCTCTTGAGAATGAATATAGAAGACTAGACAAGGACTGTAAGCAGTGACATGATACTGAAGAGCGACAAACTGGTGCTACGGCTATGGATGCTTTCATAGAGAATTTAAGACAGAACTATGTTGAGTACATTTCCATTGCTCTCTTAAATTCAACTAACATTTATTTAACATTGTCATGATTAAAGTCTTAGGAAGATGGTAATTTAAAAGGGATGAAACAGGTACAAAATTCACATAAGGCATTTTATAAGTGCAGATAGAAAGACAAGTATAGTGCTAGGGGGAATAAGGAAGGGAACTATTTTTTATTTTATTTTTGGTGCTGTACTCAGGGTCATTTTACCATTGGACTACATCCCCAGCACTTTTTATTTTTTATTTTGAGACAGGGTCTCACTAAGTTGCTTAGGGATTGGCTAATTTGCTAAGACTGGTTTTGAAGTTCGAGTCCTCCAGTAAAAGGTCTATCAATGATGAATGTGAGGTGAGAGGTTCTGGGATGTCTCCAGCAATCCAACTTCTAGAACTTATATTAAAACAAAGTTCTAGAAGTTGGATTTCTGGAAGAGGAGGTATTTCAGCAGGGTTTTTGGAGATTACTACAATTTCAGATAGGCAAAAATGGGCAAAACATGTTACAAAGGGCATATATAGGTTGCCTGCCTATATATGATTAACAAATTGTATCTAGTTGTGTACTCAGAATCCTATTTTTAGTAAAATATCTTTCTTAAAAAAATAACTAACCAAATAAGCAATTTTTTAATCAGCGTTAAAGCTCCATTTTAAAATTTTAAAAACTTAACTGAGCAATATTCCCCAATAGGGTGGCTCTCTTCAAAGTCAATATTCAGATCCATTCTTTTTATTTTGTTTTTGGTATTGGGGATTGATTGGATGCTAAGCAGGTGTTCTACCACTGAGTTATCCCCCTAGCTCCCATATTCATTATATCTCTTTCACCAATACAGGTTTCATGTTCTAGCACATTATATTCTTAGATGTTAGTATGTACTTAACTGCTGTGATCTGGTTAATGCTCTATTACCTGTTGGTTTAGTTTTTGTTCCCCTAATATCTTTCACCAATACAGGTTTCGTGTTCTAGCACATTATATTCTTAGATGTTAGTATGTACTTAATTGCTATGATCTGGTTAATGCTCTATTACCTGTTGGTTTAGTTTTTGTTCCCCTAATATCAGTATACTCCAAGAAATCAAATAAATAAAGCTACTTGGGTTAAAGACAGTGGAAGTAGCCCAGAACTCCTAGCTTAGAGCCCTCTCTCCTTTCTGCGTTGAGCTCTTAGATACTTCCAGGGAAACCCCAGGACTCTGTAGATGACAGTTTTAAAGCCACAGCCTTCTTAACTGCACTACTGCTCAATCTTTTCCTCAAAACTTTGCTCTTTCAAAAAGTCCAGATGTGAATGTTACATTATTTAATTTGTTTTAAGAATTTCTAGATATTCCTGTTCTTACTTGTTAGGGACCTATTTAGATATTTATGAACAAAAAAATATATAAATGAATTACAAATACTTACTTCCTAGTTGTGATGGTTGGGAATATCAATGAAAATTATATTAAAATAAGTTCTAGAAGTTGGATTGCTTAAATTGAGAAGTTAATACTAATCCTAAGATAATAAAAGCAGTTACTCTCAAATTGCATGCAGATAAACAAATATACACCTAAAAATTTTAATGGGGTTTTGCTTCCTTAAAAATATTTAAGATGTATAACATCCACATATGCAGAGAAGCTGAGATAAACCCTCAGAGAAGGACATTTTTTGGAGGCTCTTTATGATATTACAAGTCTCTGATTGGTTTTTCATATACCCTTACTCAGAGGCCCATTTTTCAGTCAGGGTAAAAGAGTACACATGGCTTATCTTATTTCTCCTACACTAAATAAAACAAAACCTATTAGCCTGTCATCCATAAGTCTAATTGTTTTTAATGTCCACACGAGCAAAAATATGAGACATTTTATAAAAAACATGGTGGTAGAAATAGCTTTGTCTATGTATTCATGCAGAGAATTGACCATAGTTATACTAGAACAACATTTTTTCACCCATGACTGTGAATCACAACTATTAGAAACTATCATGAAGTTAACAATCCTTGAGTACACATTTAAATGGCAGAGTAATGATTTTCCTTCATAATATCCACTATCAACTCCTCCTTGATGGACTGATCTTACTTTTCCTCTGACACCAGGTCTCTATGATATTAAGAACAGATATCCTGGAAGTCTCAAGATGGCAGGCCAGAGGGAGGCAGCATTCTGTGTTGCTCTGTGATCCAGATCTCACCTAGTCAGAATATTTCATCTCTAAGAGTGTTAGAGGACCCCTATACAGCTGCTCTCCGCAGAAATCACCAGGGACTCCGTGCAGGGCTTGGGACCTCAGCATTCGAGTAGGACGCTGGATGTTTGTCCAAAATTCTAGCCCAAGCAAGGCTCAGCAAGCGCCCTAGCAGAACCACCTATCAACACATCTGTAGATTGCCAAGACTTTGCTCTGCTCCCATGCAGGTCACTCAGCTGCTACCTACCCACAGCACACAGCCATCACCTGGCTTCCCCCACCTCTCCAGGCTCCTCCTACCTCACTAGACACTCAGGTGCTGAAAGCAGACCACTGCCATCTTGGCTCAACATTCTTGCCATATCCATATTAGCCGGGGGCAGTTCCCAGATCTCCAGCAGCCAGGTACCAAGTTTCCAACCTTCCCTGCTTCCCTGTGGTAGTAAACCAACACAGTAGATGCCCAACACAGGAGTGCAGTGCGACCAGGGAGCCGCCCAAGGGAGAGTTTCCTCAATTGGGAACATCTAGCGGAGAGGGAGATGGGGCTAAAGTTTGGAGCCTAACAGACCAGGAACTGGGAAATCTCTAGGCAAGAGAGGAAGATAGTTCTGGGAGCTCAAGTCATATGAGCGGTCCCAAAAAGAGACCCGTGAGGTGCAGTCTCCCTTCAGGGACTGGCAGGTGGCATTCCCTGTATCCAGGCACCCTTTGCCAGGACTAGTCTTCCTATCCTGGTTACCTTCACCGTCTGGAGGGCAGAGACACCAGCTTACAACAGACGACCCCACCTATTGGATGAGAAGAGAAGCAGGAAAGATACGGATCTCTAAAGCTAGCTACAACCCTGGTTTCTTCCTTCGAGTTTTTTGTTGTTTTTTTGTTTTCTTCTACCCCTCTATCCTCTGGCCCTCACATCCCCAACATATGTGAAACCAAGAACTCTGCATGAAATAGAACTTTGAGGACTGAGTCATCTGAACAACATCATGTAGAGGAGAGGTCTTGGAATCCCTACAAGAGCACTACAAACCTATAGGGTAAAAACAATAACAATATAGACCCACAGAGCTGGAAAGGAAGACACACAAGTAACATGAACAAAGTGCCCCAAACAGATGAAGACACCACATCATTAGACTCACTGGCAGCCATAGCAGAAGAAATGACAGAGGAGGAGTTTAGGATGTACATGGTTAAAATGTTCTGTGAACTCAAGGAAAGTATCAAAGAACAAATACAGGCAGTGAAAGATCACTTCGACAAGGAGCTACATAAACAAATACAGGAAGCAAAAGATCACCTCAACAGGGAGATAGAAGTTCTAAAAACAACAACAACAACCAGAAGTCCTTGAAATGAAAGAAACAATTAACCAAATTAAAATTTCAAATGAAAGCATCACCAACAGAGTAGACCACTTGGAACATAGGAAATCAGACAATGAAGATAAAATATATAATCTTGAAAAGGAGATAGACCATACATTGTTAAAGGTAAAAAACCATGAGCAGAACATTCAAGAAATATGGGATAGCATAAAAAGTCCAAATTTAAGAGTTATGGGGATAAAGGAAGGCCATAGAGGTCCAAACCAAAGAAATGAACAATCTATTCAATGAAACAATATCAAAAAACTTTCCAAACATGAAGAATGAATTGGAAATCCAAATTCAAGAAGCCTCTAGGATGCCAAATGTACAAAATCACAACAGATCCACGCCAAGCCATATTATAATGAAAATGCAGATATAAGATATATATAGATATATATAGAATAAGGAGAGAATTTTAAAAGCCATAAGAGAAAGGAATAAAATTACATATAGGGGAAAACCAATTAGGAT